GATCCCCTTCAACACGGACTTCTGGATGTCCTGTGGCTACACACACACACACACACACACACACACACACACACACACACACAGACTCATGACTGCACCAATCACCTGTGCTGCTCAGATGAGATCATGTGAAATGTATTAACTGATGATCCAGGAAGAATCTGATCAATTCTGATGCTGATCCAGGAATTCTGTTTGTCTTTCTCTAATATTGTGCGATATCTTAACATCTCAATCAATTACTCAGAGAACAATTTATGGGTCTTTATGAATAAGATCAGGGATGTTTAAAGGACTCATGTTCACGACGCATCAACAAATAAGAGCAAATCAGTCATGATGCATATTTCTGCGTCTTGCTCGAGGGCACTACAGCGGGGTTTAAACTAACGTCCTCTCACCTGACACCTCTCGTCCTCACAGTTTATTCCAGATCCAGTTGTCGTCAAGATGAAGATGAAGCAGCTCGGAGCTTTGTGTGGATTCATTCTGCTGAACCTGGCCGTCCTCGCCACCGCCAGGCCGAAAACAGGTCAGTCTGTCCATTCTGTCAAATAAAACAAAAAGTGGAGTGAAACCTAAAAATAATTATCATCATATCATCTTCTTAACACAAGTGTCTCCTTAAATAAAGAAGCACAACACACCTGATTAATTAAAATGGTTGTGAGAAACAATATTGACTTATTTCAATCAGAAGAAACTGATAAAGAAACAAATGAGAATTAATTTAAATTTATTGTGAACAGAGACGATTAGACCTTGATTAGATATTGAACCCCAGAGTAAAGACAATGTCCACGGTGACCTCGACCTTTCACCACAGAAATCTGAGTTATCCAAGAGTCCAACTTCCCCGTTTCACCAAACTTGAGGAAATTCCCTCAAGTCGTCCTTGAGATATCGTGTTTATAAAAAAGGATAAGACGGACGGACACCTTGAAAACATTGGGCCTCCTGCCACTGTGTGTCGCCGTCGTGGAGACACAAAGCTCTCAGCCTAAGTCGTGAATGCTTGTACAGTAGAGAACTAATTTCTAGCATGTGAACCACATAGAGGCTTATATTGGTAGGTTTTCCTTGACTTGATTTATGCCTCCAGACACTGAAGCAGACACATTTATTAAAATGCGAAAAACCATCCGTTGCCCACGTGTGTTTGAAACTAAAGATGGAATCCACAACAATCCCACACGGCTGCTTCTCTCAGGACTTTGTGAGGAAACTCTGGATCCATCCATTCTTTTCCATCTCATGGCTCCACAAACACAGACTCACCTCCAGCCTCGGATGATGTTATAGCTCAGTCACGACTGTTGTGTGTTTGAACTCAGATGATGTTTCACCACTCGAGAAAAAATTAAAGACAAAAACAGGTGTAATGTGGCGGCTGAAGCCACTGAGGAGCGAGTCCAGGTGATAAATCACGAGAAAAATACACCAGTGGGCCAGGAAGGCCCCCGCTGCTGAAACACACACACACACACACACACACGGATGTCATATGATATCCTCAAATCAATGTGGTGCCTACACAGAACCTTTATTACTTAGTCATTTTATATTTTCTCAAAGGAAACACATTCTGCTCATATTCAGGTTGATAATGTGAAAGAGCATTATGATGTTTACATGCTCTCATATTCAGAAAACACCTGAGTCTCCTCAGACTGTCCTTTGCTGCGGTTCCTCTTTTGATTGGATTTATTTCGATCTCAGGTCCCGATCAGAAATGTAAGTCCGGTCCGGTGGATCTGGTTTTCCTCATCGACAGCTCCCGCAGCGTGAGGCCCCACGAGTTCGAGACCATGAGGAAGTTCATGATCGACATCCTCGACACGCTGGACATCGGACCCAACGCCACCAGAGTGGGAGTGGTTCAGTACTCCAGCCAGGTGACGAAGATGAACACAGAATCCACATCTTCATCACGTTCAGATACACAGATGTCCTCCTCTCATTAAACTTTCAATTGCACATTTGATTTCACGGTTTCTGTGACAGGTCAACATTAAAAACATTTCAGACCATAATGAATGAAATTCAAGTCGTGTGTCAAGTACGACAGATATGAAGGATTATCAGAGTCAGAATCACTCACACTTCCTCGTAAATGAAGTTAAGGTGAAGTAGACAAGTAGCCATTTTGTTTCTGCCATTTCTTTTTGTCAACCCTCCAACTCTGCAAATGTTTCAGTTTTAACTGTGACTCTAATAAAACTTTAATTCCGTCTGACGACTCATCGCGTCCCCTCTGGTCTGCAGGTCCGCAGTGAGTTCTCTCTGAAGACGCACGGCAAGCTGGACACTATGGTGAAAAACATCAATGAGATCATTCCCCTCGCTCAGGGCACCATGACGGGGCTCGCCATCAAATACGTGATGAACGCAGCCTTCATCGCGGAGGAGGGAGACAGGCCAAAGGTACCGCACATCTCCAGGAAAATACAAATCAGCATGTTTATCTGACATCCTGCTGCAAAACCTGGTCACACAAAGTACAAACCTCAAGTGTTTTTATCACAAACTTAATGATCCAAGTTCAAATCTTTTCATTTTAGCCAATGATTATGATTTTTCTTCTTTAAACTGCGAATTTAACTCCTGACCACGTTCCCCCACTTCACCTCAGCTCTGATCCGGACGTCTTCTGTCCCTCAGGTCCCCAACGTGGTCGTGATCGTGACAGATGGACGTCCTCAGGACCGCGTGGCAGAGGTGGCGGCAGAGGCCAGAGAGAAAGGCATCGAGATCTACGCTGTGGGAGTGGCCAGGGCCGACATGACATCACTGAGGGCCATGGCGTCCCCCCCATTTGAGGACCACGTCTTCCTGGTGGAGTCCTTCGATCTCATCCACCAGTTTGGACTTCAGTTCCAGGACAAGCTCTGTGGTAAGACTGCAGGGAAATGAAACAACATCATCTATAAAAAAAACCACAGTATCGTCTACATTGGACTTTTTAATTACTTTGTTTGTCAAAAGTATTTTTCAGTCAGGACAGGATCTGTAAAAATAAAAGTACGTCTTAAAAACACAAGAACAAACTGGTGGAGTTTAATGTGAGTGAAAACCCTGCAGGTGTTGATCTGTGTCTGGAGTCAGAGCATGGCTGTGAACACATCTGTGAGAGTTCACCAGGCTCCTACCACTGTCTCTGTCTGCCTGGACACACACTGAAGGACGACGGGAAGACATGTGCAGGTGAGACACACACGCACACGCATCATACGGAGGCTCAGGATTCTCACCTGAGTCTGAACCAGCTTCATGTGTTTGTTCATAGTTTCATTTGATCTCTGATTAGTTTGTAGACGGGTGTTTTAACGATAAATATCATCTCGACGTGTGTGTGTGTGTGTGTGTGTGTTTCAGCCATAGATCTACAAACAAGAACCTGTAACAACAAATAACAAACTGTGTGTGTGTGTGTGTGTGTGTGTGTGTGTGTGTGTGTGTGTGTTATTTAGCCATTGACCTGTGCGCTGAGGGGAAACACAACTGTGAACAGATCTGCATCAGCTCCCCTGGTTCCTTCACCTGCGACTGCAACAAAGGATTCACACTGAATGACGACAACAGGACCTGCTCAAGTTAGTCACACACACACACACACACACATTTTCATAATATTTCAAAAGGACGAAGTCACAAACTTTAAACTAGAATGTCAGTAGAGCATAAAGTGCTTTTATAATCTGCACTATATTGTACACACACAGATGTTAACATCATAAATATGTTGCTTCCTAATATCAAGACTCAAATTGACAGAAATGTTTAAATATCACACACATACGAGGAAAGTGGAAGTTCCTGGATTGGCCCCATGATGAAGTGGTTTCTTCCACAGCTCATTCTCTGTCACTCCACCAAGTTTGGAGCCACTCAGTTTCGTATTTTCCTGCTGACAAACAAACAAAAACACAAACATGAACTTCCTGTCGGAGGTAAATAACAGCTGATCTCTGGTCTATCAGCTGTTAAACTGACTGTGTTCACGTCATGTTCATTCATGCTGAAACGGATTCTGATCTCAACCAGCTGCTGATGTTTCTGCTGCTTCATGAAGCTGAGTGGGAGTTTGTGCTATGTTCCTCCTCACGATATAAGAATCTGCCGAACATGTTTACATTCGTCCAACGTGGAAAATCTCACGTGCTGTTACAACCTCTTAGACCTCGTGTAGACCTGCTCGGACTCCTACAACAAAAGGAGTTTAATTCAGTTTCTTGTTGGAGGTGAGATCAGATGTGAGAAAAACGGGAACATAGACACAAACGCACACTTGTTTTGCCGCTGTTCGCTCTGCTGCTTATGCCCTCGCTGCTTTCCTCCCCTCAGTGATCGACTACTGTTCGTTTGGGAACCACAGTTGTGATCACGAGTGTGTGAGTGTGCTCAACGGCTATCACTGCCGCTGTCACAAGGGAAACAGGCTGCTGGACGACGGCAAGACCTGCCAGGGTAAGTAGTGCAAGCATGAGACCAGAAATCATAGATCGTTAATGAAGGCAGGTGAAGACTCAACGGTATCATGGAGATGAGGATCAGATTTGAAGATGTAAAATCTACCAAACACTAAAGGCACAGTTCTGAAATCTAATCTGTGGATCATGATACCAGGTCATTTAAAGATCCTTCAGGTGTAAAGGAGGAAATCGACCTGCTCGTTTCCACGCTCACTTTAAGTTTATCACAATGACTGTGAATAAAGATGGGCGACGTGTTTCCGCTTGACAGAATCCCACAAACATTTGATATCTGCTCTGATGTTTTTAGTTTATGTCCCATCTGCTAACACGGAGAAGGTGGGATTTACCACCAATACTGCAGCCAGACACCAGGTGGCGATCCAGATGTTTCGGCTTCATTTTTGGGAGCTGACATGTCGTCTTTGTACAAAGTCATTGGTCGGTGCTGTGAACTCATGATGGTGGCGACAGTGTTTCTCAAGCGTCGGTCACTGTGTGCACAGTAACTCACAGCAGTGCACGAGTTTCGACAGAGCAGTGTTGTTCCAAATCAAACATGGTCGTGGTGTATGCACAGGAAATAACCATCATGTGACCACGACGGTTCACCACCTGCTTTTCTCACTTCACTCTTAAATCAACATTTGACTTTCTTGTGTGTTGTGTGCCCCCCCCCGCATCTTATGACAAATTCAAGAATATGTTGCTGGCCTCTCTTCCTTCTGCTACACACATCAAGAGCATGTCTACGGCCTCACTCCCACATGTATGCATCCTGTACCCACAAACATGCATGTAGTGTGCATGAGAACACATGCGGCCAACATGTTTGTACACATTCATGACGTCTCAGCCTCAGCTCCGCAGCAACACCTGCAGTTTTAGATCTTATTGACGGAAAACTGAGAGATGAGGACGATTTACAGCCTTTGGAAAATGAAGCCATACGAACCTTCAAAGCTGCAGCGACACAACATGTAATTGTGTCGTCCATTTAACCCAAATACCACAGCAGCACCGAGTGAAGACAAGTATTCTAAAGAATGGATTGTTACATTCCTGCTGGATCAGCTGTTTGAAAACACCTGGTTTTTATCTTATCTGAATAAAATGCATCCTCCAGAGGTTCTGAACGACAGTTTGACCTCGTTGCTCCACAATGTAAAGATCATACTCTAAAAGAAAATAAAGAAAACTAAAGCAAAGAGATTAATATCACAGATTGTTTTCAGTGATCCCGATGATCTCACAGAGTTTCAATTGAATTTAATTTGCAGGTTTTAATATTCGACCTTCATGTATTTTACTTATTAGAAGACTTAAAAATGAAAAGTGAAATATTCTCTCTGTGTCTAAACAAGAGCAATGTTTTCAAAAAGTGCGTCACCAGAACAGAAGGCAAATTTGCTAATATAGGAAAAAAACAGTCCACAACTAGTAGGGGGCGCTCATGAGGTAGTTAGAGTGGAGATGTAGCTGCAAAGGCAACATTCTGCCAAATTTTCTTATGGTTTAAGACACAAGTGGAAGAAACGATCGATAAAGTTCCATTAGATTCGATTTGTGAAAAACCTTCCTGTAAGTATTTTTTTTACTTTACTGTGTGAGAGAGGAGTAAAGGTGATAATGATGATGATAGCAGCTGCTGACTCCACCGACTGTAAGAGAGACATTAACATGATATATAAATTCAACAAAAGGTATTCGTAAATAATGACTTTAGCTCAAACACACACACACACTCTCACTTTAACTCAATGTGTGTGTGTGTGTGTGTGTGTGTGTGTGTGTGTGTGTGTGTGTATGTCATTTAGCCATTGACCTGTGCGCTGAGGGGAAACACGACTGTGAACAAATCTGTGTCAGCGCACCGGGCGTCTTCACCTGTGACTGCAGAGAAGGATACACACTCAATGAGGACAAGAAGACCTGCACACGTTAGTCAGGCCCTCACACGGATGCACACGCGTGTACACACACATACAAACATACACTAGGGGGGGGGTTCCTGATCTATCACATAACACGCGCTCATCCCTTCATCCTTCTTATCAAGTGGAAGAGAAGTGATGTTGTGTTCAGCTGTTAAATGACTCAGTGACCGTTTAAATAATCAGTTAGAAATTTCAGGCCCAGTAGGTGCTGTTTCCATTTTTGCCTTTTCAACTTCATGTAGGTTAATTTAAATCTGCTCAGGGTCAAGAAGCAATTTCAGTTTGAACTGATTTTGATTTAAAATCTATTGCACAGGTTAATGAATGTGTAGTCGAGTCTCTGGTCCCCAGAATAGTTCTTCTC